TATCAAATGTCAGGATTACCTTAGGAAACCCAGATCATTCTTTTGGTTTCCAAGGAAACCAGGAAATAAAATACCTTTCCACAACTTTTATACTTAGTCATGCCTAAAATCTCATTTGGTAATAGCATTCAACATCCATTTACTTAAGATTATCTTTGAAGTTGCGATGTGTAGCTGGTGAATCAACATTAATTCAAGCTCCATTCAATGAACTCATTTAGAAAGGTTTGAGTGAAAATTTACTTTTGTTTTGCATATACTGAAAAAAAAAAAAGGTGGTTAAGCAAGTCACTATGTAAAGAAGATTATAAGGGCTGTGCCTACCTATATTTATATATGTATCATTTGTTTTAAGGATATTTGGAGATGTGTGTGGTTTGTCTCCTGAAAAGGACAGGTAGGTTTGTTTTTTTCATTGTTATCAGTTACCAGGGTAGGCCTCCTGTTACCTTTATGCTGAAACTCCAGGTGAGCAAAGACCCTGTGTGCTTTGGGAGGTCTCTTACCACTACTTAAAGACTGCAGATTATTTTGAGTTGAGAGCAGTAAGGACCCTGGGGGCTGAGGAGAAGCTTCTTTTCTTGCCTGAGTCTTGCCCTTCCTTAATCTAAGAAGCTATTGCTTCCCCCCGCCCCTTTCATGACCTAGAAGAATATAGTTTTGGAGGGTTTCATTGCCAGTTGTAAGTTTATCAGTGAACATGTCCGTCCTGTTGGAGAATATCATCTTTGCTCTTAAAGATGAGGTAACCTCCTTCTTGTCTGTCATATGAAGTCTCCCCTTCTCTTTTCTTGACACTTCTAGTCCCTAAATGTAGAATAAATATCCCTAGTCTGCTCCATTATTCTCTAGAATTTACAGATGTAAATTCTCATACACATGTTATTAAATTTTAGTTTTTCCTCCTACTAATGCATCTGATGTTAATTTGTCCATTAGAAGAACCCAGAAGGGGTGGGGGAAATTTTCCCCTGTGCCCCAACACATATAAATTAGTATGGTAGTCAAAAAAATTACCACATATCTTTTCAAATAATTCTAGGTCAATCGTGAGCTGACAATACTTTATTTGCATAACTGTAACACAAACTATTTTCTAGAGAGTGAGGTTTCTTTATGTATATCTTAACAGTCTTTTAAAATAGAAATTGAATAGAAATTGATGCTCCAAAACAATGTTTTATAAAGCCAAATTTTAAGTAGTCTGTGATATAAATTTTAAAATATTTCATTGAGAATTATACTTGCTCCTAGTGGTAAGGTACATGTGCATTAAAATGCAAGGACTTGTCTTAGTGATGACAGTTAAGATATAACTTCTAGGAAGCAGGTTGAGGTGTATGTGAGCTACAATATTATAGTTTAATTTATAACACTGACCTTGTCATTTTGTCACATTATCAGACTGTACCTTGTCATTTCCGTAGTTCTAATTTCACAGAATTTCTTCGTTGTAAGGTTTGAAACATTAGGTTCTCTTGTAGAAGAGTTAATTTAGCTTTTCTATTGCAGTTTTAATGTGTTTCCAACATGTGTTTCTTCTTATTAGTTATGTTACACATCTTGCTTCTTTAACTGTTTACCTCTCCTCTGTGATGCTTTTGGAACATTTGAAAATGTTACCTTTGTGATGGTGCAGTTACAAGTGATGAAATTTCTTCTTTGAAATGATAAGACCCTGTTCAAATTGTACTCTTCCATGTTTTTATTTAATTAATTTTCTTTTTTTTTTTTTGTGGGACCCTCGCCGGTGGCCCGGGATCGAACTGGTGCTGCAGAGGTTGCGGGCAGCCTCGCAACCCGCACTCAACCACTGCACCACCAGGGGAGGCCCAATTAATTTATTTTCTTAAAGATTCATGCATACAAGAACCGAGGTATAGGCCAGAGGTGCGGGAGGGTGAGAGGATTTACCAGGCAGACGGACCAGAAACACTGCTGAGGGGAGCAGTGGGTGAGACAGGAGAGGTCTGCTGCGCCATGTGGGTATCTCCCTGGCCAGCCGGGAATTGAACCTGTGCTGCAGAAGCTGTGGACAGCTTCGCAGCACTGAGCTCAACCCACTGTGCCACCATGTTCTTTTACAAGAACAAATTGCAATTGCCCACAAAACATTTATAACAGTTTTTGGAACTGTGGGGAATAGTAGTATTCTGTGCTGGTACTAGGAACAGGGAGGCTAAAGGGAGGAAAATGGAAATTAGGGGATGATTCTTTATTTTTTTTTATATACACATCCCAACATTTATTATGTGAGCCAAAAAGTACAGAAATGCAATATATGACATTGAGAGTGGTGGGGTTTTTTTAGGGCTTGACTCTCTCTGCCAGGCAGATAAGGAGACTACACACTGGTGGAAACAGACCAGGGGTTAGCTTTCAAATTCTGCCTAAAACTATCTAATGCCATCCCCTACACAAAGGATAAGTAAGGGAACGTCCTTGGTAGTTCCCACCATATGGAAGCTGCTATATTCCTTTTTATCAGCTCCAATATGTGGAATACATCTAAATTAAATGAAGCTAGTACATTCGATTCTGGCTAAAGAGGGCACTTAATGAGAATTAAAATATATCAAAGAATGAAGAAAGATAGTATTGCAGTGTGTATTAGTCAGCTGAAAACATTGGTTTGATGAAACACTTGCTCTGTCTCCACTTTAGCTGTGAGTTCTTGCTTCCACGTTGACGGGCTTCCCCTTAGCTTTCAGTTCTTTCGACTAACTGATGCTACCTTCCATTAGACTTGGCCTCTTAGTTCATCTTGTTGGTGGGGAGAGAGATGACGGGGGGCGGGGGTGGGGAGACACACGGGGGCAGAGACACACAGGGAACACACATCACGGAACGAGAGAACATTACTGAAAGACACCACTAAGGGGCGCAGTGGGCAAGAGGAGAGGCCCTCTGCACCTGCGGGTGGGTCGGCTCCCTGGGCCGGGTATCGAACTCAGGCCATCGCAGCAGCGCTGAGTCGGAGCACTGAGCCTTAACCCGCTAGGCCACGGGGGAGGCTCTGCTCACTACCCGGCTTTCAGGCTCCTAGTACTTCCCAGTGCTTCATGGAGGGCGCGCGTCTAGCGGTGGCAATGGTGAGGTGATGTAAACGCCTCCTAAACTCGGCATCCGCAGGTGTAGCCCCTGTCCTGGGAGGGCGGTGAGGGGTAAACCCTGGGAGGGCGGTGAGGGGTAAACCACGCCGTGTGGCGTCTGCTCCCTGGGAGCCTGCACTCAAGGCATGGGGCGGGGGGACTTCAAGTCGACAGTCAACGTGGCCGTAGCCGCTGCCAGCAGGTGCTAACACGCACCGCGGCTCGCGTCTGGGGGTGCAGACTCGGTGCGCAGCCAGGAACGCCCGGACGGTCTTCCTTCTGTGGCAGGGCCTGGAGACGAGCGTGGACACTACTTAAGGATACAATATGATATTTCTCTTTTTACCCGAAAACACTTTTTGGTTGATTTGCTCTGGGCGCCCGCCCCAGCGGCCTCGCGTGGACGGTGGGTGGGGCCTCCGGGGCGTGGGCTGGACCCCAGGGCCGGACGCCCACAGGACCCGCATGAAGGCCCCGGGGACCATTGCAAAGGCGAACCCGAGGGGCGACAGGGGCGCCCCGGCACAGGCCCCCGGTCCCGAGTATCTTTTTTAAGGATTTATTTATTCAAGAACCGGGGTACAGGCCAGAGTTTTGGGGGGTGAGAGGATTCACCAGAGACAGAGTGGGGAACAGAACAGGGGAACGGATCAGGCAGATCGACTGAAACAGACACACTGCTGCGGGGAGCAGCTGGCGAGCCCGGAGAGGTCTGCTGCACCATGAGGGTCACTTCCCTGACCGGGGATCGAACTCGTGCTGTAGTGGCTGCAGTGAGCTTCACAGGTTGCGTCTTAACCCCTTGTGCCACCGCAAGGGGTGGGGCCGACTCTGTTTATCTTTGTCCTTAATTTCATTGCCCAGTTAAGGAAGCCCAGAGGCAGCCATGAAACGCCAACTCGTGTCCTGGCCAAGTCGAGAAGCTGCAGGCTTGCTTGCAGCCCTCCCTACCTGGCTGGCGAGTCCCTGCAGCCTGCTCTTGGAGCCTGCACACCCGCACACCCTGCACTCCTGGCTGCCCCTGTCTCTAGTTCTGTCCCTCTCTGCATGTTAGGGCTGCACTCCCCTAAAGGCTTTTTGTCTGTTCACTTATATTATCAATTTCTCTACCCTAAATAAAAATAATCGCAAAATCATGCCTAGAACACCCTAGGGCAGCACTGCCTCACAGGACTTCCTGTGATGTCGGAAAAGTTCTGTATGTCTGTCCTCCCGTGCGGCGGCCACTAAGCCACCTATGGCTGTCGAGTCATTGAAGTGTGGCTAGTGCAAGGAGTGAGTGAGTTTTCAGTTTATTCACTTTCAAGAAATTTTTTTTTTTTTTTAAGATTTATTTATTTTTTATACAAGAGCTGGGGTATAGGCCAGAGTTGCCGGAGGGTGAGAGGATTCACCAGAGACAGAGCAGGGAACAGAATAGGCAGACAACTGAAATACACTGCTGAGGGGAGCAGCGGGCGAGACAGGAGAGGCCTGACGCGCCATGTGGGAATCTTGCGCCAGCCAAGAATCGAACCCCTGCTGCAGAGGCTGTGGACAGTCACAGCACTGCGCTCAACCCGCTACGCCACTGGGGAGGCCCTAAATTTAAGTTTAAAAAGCCACATGTGGCTAGTGGCTACTATGTTGAATAGTCCAGCTCTAGAGATCTCATTTTAATGGGAAAAAAAAAAATGATCATCTGGGAGAGTGGTAGCTGGCCAGGGCATTTCTGGCAGCCCTGGAAAATGTCCTGCAGCAGAGAACCCCCTCGAAGGGAAGGAGGAGGTGGCCCACTGGACTACCTGACCCTGTTTGCCTGGTCAAGCAAACTCCATAGAAAATATTTCAGGGAGAACATAAAATGCTCTACTATAATTGACGTATTTTGACATTATTCCTTCTCTTCCCCTTACTTTTTATCTCCAGGTTTCAAAAGAAGACTTTCTGAACTACTATGCTGGTGTTAGTGCGTCTATTGACACCGATGCTTATTTCATTTTAATGATGACAAAATCCTGGAGTTTATGACGTTAGTCTATGAATTCTTTTGAAAATCAGGGACTCCCACAGCAGAATGAGTTTGAAAGAAATACAATGTTATAGATGTTGATAAGGTGTCAGCTCCAGTCCCTGAAAGACCTGAACATTAAAAGTGATAGATCGTTGGTCATTTTACCTAGAACATGTTCATTTCCATAAATGCCTGAGGAAATATTTTTAACTCTGAAATAAAGGGAAGAAAGAAAGAGCAGAAGACAGGATGAAAGGAAATGTGAAAGTGAGGCTGGGAAGCAGTGCCTGCGTGAGACTCTGCTGGTGAGAGGCCTTCTTCTTAGGGCTGTAAATGCAGCTTCCACTCTGTTTACCTCTTTGGAGTCTGTAGCTGGAGGTGATAATCAAGAACAGCAGGAACATCTGACTGTAAAACTTCCTGGACTTACTTATGTCAATGTCTTTCTTGCTACTTTCCAAATAAAATTTATTTTATTCTGAAACGTAAATTTTGTTGTTGCTATTTTCATACTTTAATGCAGGGATTTAAACTCAGCACGTGTGGATACACTTGCACGAACGGAGCACGTAAATGCTTCTGGTGACCAGGCAGGTGGGCTCACAGGTGCTGTTGGGTGGAGACAGATTCATGGCGTGGGCCCGCTCATGGCATCAGATGGCCAGGTTGGAAGTGGGAGGCGGGAAAGGAAGTGCCTACTAGAACTGTGGAGGCCATGGGGAGATATGTGTGAATGGGGGAGGACTTTGAAGCTGTTTTTGGGGAGTCATCTTCTTGAACCCACTTATAGGCTCCTCCACCAGGAGGCTGATGTTGGGTTTCCCAACACATTTGTCTTTCTCTAATAACTTCTTCTCAGGTAGCAAAAATGACTGAGGGTTGACTGGCCACATACTGACAGGCCCTTCATTTTTGAAAACGCATAGAAATTAGGCTGGGACAGGACATGGAAGGCTAACTCTATGCTTCTCAAACATTAATTAGCAAACAAATCACTTGGATACTCTTCAGATAATTCTTTTTTTTCTTTTTCTTTTCTTTTGTATATTTTTTACATCATTCTTCATTTTATACAATGCATGCTTGATCATCTCAGGCATAGTCCCCGTGAAATCCCCACCACCAATTCACCCATGCACCATCACCATAGTCCCCCGTGCTCTTTCCTCCCCTGTTTTGGTCCAATTCTGACTCAGAATTCTGGAGTGGGGACTGGACATGAGCCCCTCTGAGCAACTTCCCCCAGATGCCAATACCCTTACTATGCAGATAACATGTCTGGAAACAAGGGCTAAAGGGATACTAGCTTTTATATTTCCAGTGCATTTGGCCATTATCTGCCTACCTTTGGTTGGCCATCTTAACTTACGATTTCTGCCTCTGAGTCCATTTTTTAAAGTCATGGAATTATGAAGTAAGTATTAGAAAAAAAAGTATGTGACTTACAGGCATGTGTAGAAGAGAAATAGCACTTCTAAGAGGCCCGGTTGGGGGCATCGTAATTCAGATCTTATCGTCCAGGACTGACGCTTGTATCTTCCAGCCTCAAAGATATGACTGTGTCGGCCCGCCGAGTGCGTGTAGGTCCATCTCTTCTGAGACCTACATTGAGCAAGCTCATAGAGAAAGGCGCTAAAACTAGAATGCCAAAGAATTCATCGAACGTTGAGAATGCATGTTTGCTGAAACCAGATCAGAGACCTTGCCTAGGTTTGCAAATGTGAAAGAACGAGAGTTTACTTCTCTGTTCAAGTTTGCTTTTAGCTGTTTATTCTCAGAGGCTTCTAAGCAGCACAGAGGAGATCTACATAGCATGTTGGGACAATGCTAGTCTACTAACAAATATGCCCTCAAATATATAAGACATGTTTTTCACTCATTAGTCAGTATTCTGTATCAGCTATTCGTGGTCAATGAACAGTGTTCCTCTGTGAAATAATTCTGGGTCACAGGATTCCTTCGTTTTGTGGTTCTGCTGTTTTCGAGGGCTTTGTCTGAAGGGGAAGAGGGCGGAGGGGTGCTGAAGAGCTTTCTGAAAAGGTTTGGTCTAGAAGTGACAGATGTCTGTTACTTCTGCTTGCTTTCGATTTGATGACAACTCTTTACATTATGTCTGAATGCAAGGGAGACTGGGGAACACAGTCTCAGGCAGGAACTCTTGACCACAAGAAGCTAACTGATGGGCAGAGAGTATACCTTTTAGTGGATAGCTGTGCCTTCTGCTACTCAAAAGATCACCCCGCCTTGTCTTTCCTTTTCTTATGGAGGTGTGGTGGGTGGTTTTGGTCACCCATATGGGGAGACATTTGGCAGTTTGGAGGAATGTACAGCTGAGGTCTCTTCATCCTTAGCCACCAAAAAAACCAACTTCTATAATCACATACGTAATCATTCTTTCACTAGTAAGTCCTGTGACTTGGGTCTCATGGCTTACTCCAGATGCTGAAATGTGTGCTATCACAGCACTGGGGCAACTCATTTTTTATTTGATGCTTTGCTACAGGACCTAGGGATTTCCCACCAATGTCTATGCAGGGGTTTTCTGTAGGGATGTCCTGGAACCAAGTTATTCAGGTTGGTAAATGAGAAAATTTTGCTCTAGAGGCATATCTCATTAGAAACCTAATTAAAATGATAAGGTTATTTAGTAATTGGAATAAAGGGCATGAAGATTAGCCTATTTAATGAAATTAAACTGACAATTTATTTCATTCCTCTTGTGAGTTTCCCTATAGTCCTTGGAGGGGCCTAATAAAGATGTGCTCTCATTTTCTGTTTCGTAGCTGACAAACAACCATAGGAGGGACACACTACTCATTTTGGGGATGTTGATTAGACTTGTCAGTGAATGTATTCAGGATGTGCCCTGCCTTTCCTGCCTGGGGTGATGGTATGACTTCAGGGTACTTTTATGGATCTCTATCTAATTCACTGAGTGCATATATATATATATATATATATATATATATATATATATATCTCAGAATAATTGTAATGTTTCTCTGAGGGGCTATTTATTTCCATGCTATTAGGAGCATATCTTAACATAGCCCCAGTGAACTAACCAAAGAAATCAGATACTCTTTTTTTGTTTTATGCCTCCAACAGTGCTTGAGAGAACCTATTTTCCCACCCCCTCCTACTATTGAGGTTTAGCAGCCTTTTGAATTTTATAATTTTATATATGAACATTTGCTTTCCTTACATTTAACTGAATTTTTGATTCTGATTAAGACAGAACATATTTTCATATTTTTCAAAGTCATTTCCATTTTTTTCCACAAACCTCTGCTAATGTGCTTTGTCTATATTTTGCTTATTGACTTGTAACACTCTGTGGATGTTAAGAATATAAACACTTTACCTGTCATATTATAACTTCATTTTTGCAGTTTATTTTATCTTTTATTTGCTGTGGATTTTTATACAAATAAATTAGCAACATTTATTTGTATAAATGTTGCTTTCTTTTTTAAAATCTAGATTTTAAATCCTATTTAGAAATGTTCTCCAGGGCCTCCCCTGTGGCGCAGCGGTTGAGCGCTGGGTTGCGAAGCTGCCCGCGGCCTCTGCAGCGCAGGTTCGACCCCCGGCTGCTCCCCGGCCACCGAAGGAGGGTCCCACATGGCGCGCAGACCTCTCCTGCCGCCCGCTGCTTCCCTCAGCAGTGTACTTCGGTCCTTCTGCCTGCTCTGCTCCCTGCTCTGGCTCTGGTGAATTCTCTCACCCTCTGGCGCTTCTGACTGTACCCAGTGCTTGTATGTATGTATCTATAAATAAATCATTCAATAAATCTTTAAAAAAAAAAAAAAAAGAAATGTTCTCCATATCCAACATGTATGAAAAGATGGACTTGTGTCTTCTGGCTTATTTATTTTCATTTAAAACCTGTTTATATCATTGATTTTTGTAGGGTTTATTTTTGAAATAAGAAATCAGTTCCTTACTCTTTATCTACAAATGGTTAATGTATTGCTCCAATCTCATTTGTTAAATAATCCATTTTTTCTCTGCTGATTAAAAATAGTGGATGTTTTTGGAAGTACATGGATCTAGACATATAGTTTCTCAATGACATTCCACTGAATATTGTGTCAAAAAATAAAACATAGCCAGGGATACCGGTTATATATATGCAAAATTTTTAGTTTTTTGTGTTGATAATTACTGTCATTTTGTCATTTCTAAATGTATAATGAAATTGATTTAGATTGCCATTAGAAAATGAATAAAATTAAAAAAACCCCTCATGTATTTAGTCTCTTCTGCAGCATTGTGCAGGCTTTTCTTGAACATATACTTTTCAACATATTTACAATACATTATATGATATATATGATATGGAAGATGCACATCACTTATTAAATATGATTACTTGTGAGAAGTGGCATTAGGGAATGAAGTCTTTACTTGTTACATCACACATATCAGTGTTTTGTGGATTTGGGGGAACAAGCAACTGTTAGCTTAGTAATGTAGATTTAAAAAAATAACTCAATAGATGGAAATACTGTTATCAAAGATCTTACTGAAGTCTCTGTGTCTTAGTTTTTTTTATTGCTTAATACCTTTGTGCTTTTCTGGTACGCATTTCATCTGCCAATGATGATCATTTGGTTCCTCCTGTTTAATATTCTTGCTTCTTTTGTTTTCTTGTCTAATTACATTTAGCATACCTACAACATGCTAAATGTGGTGAGGGTGAAACTTAGTTTTCTTATCATTCAACTTTAGAGTACTTTTAATATTTCACCATTGAACATGGTCCTGACTGATAGTCCATGTTTATTTCACTGATTTAAAAAATAAATCCTAAACATTACTTAAATCTATTCTATTTATGAAATTTATAATATATAAAAATGGGATTTCACAGCATATTTCTTAATCTCATGCTACAATATTTATTGAACTTTTTTTTTAAAGATTATTTATTTATTTATACAAGAACCCTGGTACAGACCAGGTGTGTGGAAGGGTGAGAGGATTCACCAGAGACAGAGCAGAGAACAGAACAGGCAGACTAACGAAATACACTGCTGAGGGAGGCAGCAGGCGAGACAGGAGAGATCTGCCACGCCATGTGGGATTCTTGCTGGCCAGTTGGGATAGAACCTGTGCTGCAGAGGCTGTGGACAGCTTCACAGTGCTCAACCACCTGCACCACCAGGGAGGCCCTATTTATTGAACTACTTATTTAAGGTAATTATTCCTTAGACTCTGAAAATAATATATAGTTCTCTGTAATTAGTAGATTCTAGTGTCTTTAGCTTAACATTAACATACTTCTGATTATTTGGCATTTGTGTCTAATGACTAGTGCAATTAACATTTTGCAACAACTAATTTGTCATTTAAAAAAAAGGTCCTTCTCTATCTCTTCAAGTTCTCTTTTTCTTGGTGAGAAATTTTATCCAGAATGGAAAGAAATTGACCCTTATAATTTGCAGTTGATGAGGGATCTACCAGATTAACTC